GGACACGTGCAGTTGCACGACGTGATACGGCGCCTGTCGAAAGTGACCGCCACATTGTATGAGCCCTTAGAGATGCCCAGCGATTGGGGCGGTGTTATGGTTGCGCTTAAGTGGAAACCTATTCACAAACAGACAACACATGATTAGCAAAGACATGGACTAAGATATAATCATCAAAATGCCAACCGTAAACTTCGTTGAGAAAGTGTCGAAACCGGAAGTTATCCAAGAGAGGGGAGACCTTGAGCAGCCGGCTCGGCAACCGGTTTGTGCTCATCTCGGCATACAGGAGGAGCAAGAGCCCCTTTGAGGTCAACGCGATCCGCAACTGGAGCTGTTCCGGGACGGGCGGCGACACCCGCTCCACCACTTCGAACGGTATATGACAGGCCACTGTCTGGGCCGACAACTCCACCAGCGATAGCAGACTATCATCTGTACAAACCATAGACAACACAGTGTGTCAGCAACTAAAGTGGGAACCACTAATGTGACAATCGGTATACCTTTGACGGGTCGGTGATTGGGCCCCAAGTGGTGGCCAGCGTTGGCGTAGTTGATGGCTTGGGCGGCGCTGGTGTTGAACTTCTTCCAACCCCTCCAGTTGTTGCAGACGGACTCGGGCTCAGACATCCACGAGCAGAGGCTGTCCTCTTCGAAGCGCTCCGAGTCCTCGAAGGAGAAGCGATCGCCGTCTTCCCAGTCAAACATCGCGACCAATGGTTGTTCTCCCGAATCAGCGGTTCCGACCACTTCTCACGAGAGACCACTGTCTCGACGATCACTGCCTCTGTCTCTTCAGGAGACTCTCTCTCCCTCTGGCTGTGTGTCCACGCGATTGTCTTTCCGATCACTTGAGCGCTTCCCCTAAAGACACAGACAAAGGATAATCGCAAACACAATAATCACATCAAATAAACACAACTATTATATAATACACTCGTCTTTATAGCGATCGCGACAGACATGACGTCCCGAAGGGTTGTCACGACTCTTACCATTCAATTCACACTAAAAATAGCATTCAATATAAAAAGGGGACAAAAATACTTGTCGTACGTTATTTATGGATGTGTTAAAAGTCAACTCAACACTTGACGTCACCATTCGATATATTGAATACATTTTGAACGAGTTTTTTAACATTATCATTTAATATAAAAAGGGGACAAAAATACTTGTCGTACGTTATTTATGGATGTGTTAAAAGTCAACTCAACACTTGACGTCACCATTCGATATATTGAATACATTTTGAACGAGTTTTTTAACATTACAACTACGATGGCTGAGAGGTCGTTAACATACGCCATTCATATATAACGTTACGCAATAACTATCATAATTGGCAACCCTTTGCCCAATGCATAGCCTATAATCATATAAACACAAAATGTACGCCAAATCAGGGATTTCTAAATGTTTGCGAAATGTCATGTAATTTATGGATAGGAAAAACATATGATTTATAAATGTGTTGTTTATTGTTGTGTTAAATGTTGTGTTGAAAGTGAATTGAATCAAAACAATTATTGCAATTAAAAGCACATGTTTTTCACGACAATAATTAAGTAAAACAATGTCTCAATTAATGCATAAATTAGCGCCACTTTTGCGGCCACTGAACGAAAGTGTCTTCAAAACTAATGGCAAGTATTTCCCGATTTAACAGAAATGTGACCACAAATCAAATTTACCGACATTTATGGCCGCAATAAACTAACTGCACGTGTCTTTTAATACCCATATATATAGTGACAATCTGTGGACCGGCCGTACTGTCTGTCCGGCACCGGAAGCCCATATACCCGCGCAAACACGTGGAGCCGGACTTTGTCCGCAAACAGATGCTCGCCGTTTGCGAACCGGTGTTCGCGGCCGACAAACGCCTGCCGTCCGAACGCTGCTATAACCTGACGCCCAAACCCGACCGCGAGATTCATCCGTACGACAAAATGCTCGCTCAGCTGTACTCGGCGCTCAACGCCTGTAGCGCATACTAAACGAAGAAGGTGCTCTTGGTTCACTGGCCAGCACTCTCCTGAATATGCCGGTTATGCAAGTGAGTGCTCCCGTACTGAAACGCGATGATATACCCCGATGTGGCCCGACTCGCGATGGACGGCACCAAATGGGAAGCGGCCCTACATTTGTGCTCCGAATACCGCGTGACTGTACTCTTCTCGCCCGAGCCATCGGTGGCCAAAGTGTTGAAACTGGTCCGCAAGAGTCCTCAACTCGTTCTGATGGCCGCCATTATTGACGACCGTTTTCTCAGTCTCGAGGATCTCAAAGACTATATGGCAAACGGACTAAACGTCTGTTACGCGCGGGTGAACACAGTGTGAGACAGGAGTCGCTGGGCAAGCCACTGGCTGTTTTGTGAAGTAGGCTACAATTGTGAGTGATTATCATAGCTATAAATATACAAAGATAAGAAATGAGTTGTTTTTTTTGTACACAAATTGTCCTAAATTTTTATTATCATTGTTTTGATTCAAATCGAAAGCATTTTATTTCTCAAAAAAGCAAATAATAAATCAATTCTGTAGTCATTATTACAATAATATTAATAATTATAATTAAGTCATTAATTAAATTAAAAACAATTACTTTAAAACCGATTTGCGTTACAATTACTAAATCATTTTGTCCTAAATATACAATCAATTGATTTATGAATGTTTTTCTCATCAATTCGTTTAGTAGTCAATGAGAAGTGATATTCAATATATCGATAGAGAGATAGTTATAGTTAAGAGTAGAGAGAAAAACGTTTCAATACTTGCAGTGCTATTCAAATATCAATCAATAACTTGTAAGTTATTTATAACGAGCGCTATTTCATTAGCCTTACAGTATATTTAACATTATATTTTTGAATTTTTATTGTTTTGTAAATTTTTTGACTAGTGTACAAGTGTATAACATGCGGTGTATTTAGCCCAGGTTAACCAGACGCTTCTGTTGAAACACGACAATTAGTATGCAATCAAACACAAGGGGCCGATAGGGACCACAGCCGGGAGCGGAGGCCACACACCGGCTCCACAAACCAATCATTACCTGCGAGGAAACCGTCGCGCAAATGCATTCGTTGTTTCTCTCCTCTGGAGTTAATGGGAACCACTCCCGGATCGACCACTACTACAACGCCTACTATCAGGTGGTGTTCTTCTAAGACTACATTAGTTACTAAAGGAACCAAATCTAACGCTTCGTTCTCATTGCCGTCCAACTCGACCACCACTACCAGGAGGTTAGTCCACGTGAACACAGCTCTGGAAGTAAGAGGAATGACAAGAGATTTAGTGATCAGTAGTGGTCATCGCATTCGTTGATTCAATGGTTTAATAATACTTACGATTCGGAAATTTTCTTATGAGATCGCATAACACTGTTCTCAATGTCTATGGGATGGTAACGAAGACCTCTCAATGTAATCGTTTCGTCCAAAGAGCCCACTATGAAGATGGCGTCGTGTAGTTCTGGTCATTGAGATAATCGATTAGATAATCAATCAGTTTTATACATCAATAGTACGCATACCTCCGTCCGCCTGAACCGATTCGGTTCGCCTCAAGAAACCCAAATAACCAGTTCTGGCGTACGTCTGAGTGGCGTCACCGGTAATGAGTCGGGCGTTAAAGTGGTCGTTATGTAGAGAGTCGTCGCCATATATTGTGAAATAACCGCTTGAATTGTGCTGCGATTGGACCCAAACCTACGGAACGGACACAAAATTCTTGGTCAATATCGCACATTACACAACATAATGGGTTCTTCGGCGGACACACATACCTCTCCCAGATTGGAGTCGCCGCAGTGGCCTCTGGTCTCGGGGTTGGCGATCACCACTTTGACTCCAGGCAACAGTTTGCCGGACTCCGTGAGACAGAGGCTGTGCGGCGCCCCGCGCTCTACCAGTGTTACCCTGTCGTTGCGTAGGGCCCGAGTGTCCACGTATACAGTGGTCGGGTCGGGACTGGCGGCCCCCTGCAGACAGAGGGCGACGTTCACGCGGCACCCGAACGACGTGCTCACCGCGCGGGCCGACAGACCTAGACTTTGAAAGAGTTTGGAGAACGAGTTGGTGAGCGCCACCCGCGGCCTCTCCTCCGCCACCACAACACACGTGCGGACACAACTCAAGTTTACTCCCCGTTGCTGTCAAAATGAAACAACAATTAGTATTAATGGACAATACAGTGAAGACAAGTCGATACAGACCTTCATCTGCTGTACGGAAGAGCCCAACCCTTTGGTACACAACTCCATAACGCCGTACGAGCAGAAAGTGTCCCTCACTTTGTATTGCGAGACAACACTCAACCATAGGCTGGGGTTGAGCTCCACTTCCGACGGCGGAATCAGAATCGAGTGATGACCAGAATATACACTATTGAGACACCAGAGGACGAACCCGAGCGCTGAGTACGGGTCGAGACAGAGGGCGATGTGACGCGAGGGGTAGAGCTCACACGCCAACTTCATGCTGCGGCACAGGGAGGCGGCCGCCGCGTGAGACACCTTAATGCCGGCCAACATTCCCGTCGTCGAGACACTGAAGTCGAGGTAAGCGATCATTTCGGGCGTCGGCGCCCTATAAATGCTCGTCAACTTCTTCTTCGGCAAGTCGTCGGTGTCGATGGTTTGCGGCCACGACTTGATGTCGACCACATTGCCGGCCTCTTTTGATTTGAGCAGTTTGATGACGGGTCCGGTGGACAGTATGAGCACCGACTTTGACACGTCCACAATCATGCGAACGGTGGGCAGTGTTGTCTGCAGGTTCTGCGGGTGCGGCGGCCTTATGGTGACCGGCACTACGCCGATGAACAGACACCCGTAGAAGGCGCAGATCAGGTCCACGCCGGGCGAGTAGATGAGCGCCACGTGATCGCCGGTATTCAACTTTCCCCTCTCCAGGAGAAGACAGGCCACGCGTTCGGCCCGTTTGTGGAGCTGCGAGCACGACATGGTCTGCGTTTCGCCGCCTTTCGAGTTGAGCAGTGTATAGATGTTATGGTCGGGCGAAGTGGTCGCTCGCCATTTCAGTATCTCCGATATGAACTGATACTTGCGTGTGGTGTCGGTGTCCTCGTCGATGGAGCCCACGTCACGGCCCTGAGCGATGGCCAGTCGTACGCCCTGAACAATGTTGCCCACCATTACGGACGCGGGACCGATCTCGGTGTGCACTTCGCGCGGTTTGGGTAGGTTTGTGACACACGTGTGCGGACACATGAGGACGTTGGCCGGATGGAGGGCGCCGTCCAGATAGCGGCGCTTCACTTCGGACAGATGTATGCCTCCGAGCGGTGTTTTAGGCAAACAGTTGGGCGGCACGAGTGCCAGACAATAGATGCCCACCTGATGTATTGAGTCGACCGCTTGTAGCACTCGACTCATCCACTGGAACGACTCCTCTTCGGTACAGTCGGGCCTCTGTTCGGCGATCACGCATATCCTCTCGTCCCTCAGCACTCGTATGGCGAATATGGCTATCCGTCCCCTATAGACAAACTTCATGGGCTCGACGGCCAACACCGTAGCGATGAGGTCGTCGGTGTTGTGCTTACGGGCGCTCACATTCATCACACCATCGCGAGTGCCGCAGACGAAGACCAGAGCCCCCGGACCCATGAAGCCGAGTAGACCCGTGCGGACAAAGGTCTGTTCGCTGAAGGGTCGGCCGTCGTTGTTGAGCGGTTGCATACGGAATATGTTGTTCGTCAGCCCCTGAAGACCCCAATAGCAGGAACCGGCGGCCGCTGTGCTCAGACAGATCTCTCCCACTTCATCCGTTTTGCAGAGTATAGGCGCGCCGTTTATCTTCACCACCGCTGCGATCGCTGTTATTGTGGCCAAAGAATTCGGGAAGGGGAGTGCTGTCGATGTCGGCCCTCAGTTATGGTGCACTTCGCGCGGTTTGGGTAGGTTTGTGACACACGTGTGCGGACACATGAGGACGTTGGCCGGATGGAGGGCGCCGTCCAGATAGCGGCGCTTCACTTCGGACAGATGTATGCCTCCGAGCGGTGTTTTGGGCAAACAGTTGGGCGGCACGAGTGCCAGACAATAGATGCCCACCTGATGTATTGAGTCGACCGCTTGTAGCACTCGACTCATCCACTGGAATGACTCCTCTTCGGTACAGTCGGGCCTCTGTTCGGCGATCACGCATATCCTCTCGTCCCGCAGCACTCGTATGGCGAATATGGCTATCCGTCCCCTATAGACAAACTTCATGGGCTCGACGGCCAACACCGTAGCGATCAGGTCGTCGGTGTTGTGCTTACGGGCGCTCACATTCATCACACCATCGCGAGTGCCGCACACGAAGACCAGAGCCCCGGGACCCATGAAGCCGAGTAGACCCGTGCGGACAAAGGTCTGTTCGCTGAAGGGTCGGCCGTCGTTGTTGAGCGGTTGCATACGGAATATGCTGTTCGTCAGCCCCTGAAGGCCCCAATAGCAGGAACCGGCGGCCGCTGTGCTCAGACAGATCTCTCCCACTTCATCCGTTTTGCAGAGTATAGGCGCGCCGTTTATCTTCACCACCGCTGCGATCGCTGTTATTGTGGCCAAAGAATTGTCAATTAGTTCTTTGTTAATTACCTTTTACTCGGACTTAGTATTGCAATTGTATTGGAAATTTAGTAAACATGGTAACATTTAAATTAAGCAAACATAATAAGATTGTGAGAATATTTTTCTGTTATAAAAATCTAATTCTGATTAAACTCAAAAATAATTACGGTAATCAAATTTGCAATGAGATGTGAAATTGCAATTTAAAACTTAAAATTTGATTAATCAGCATTTCTATCAATAGGACAATTTAATTTAAACAAATTTTTAATGCTAATTAGGTTTTGATTTGATAATCATTTTAAAATTAATACATTTTATAAATATGTTATGATAAACTAGGGACCAACTATAATTTAAGAAATTTATACAATTGAAAATAAATCTTTTTTAATTTACCATATGAATGCCTCAATCACATACAAACCTATGGTATACTTTCCTGCATAGCTATTGCAGTCCAGCAATAGGACTGCAATAGGACTGCAATAGCTATGCAGGAAAGTATACCATAGGTTTGTATGTGATTGAGGCATACACTAAAAATCATTGTATTTAATTCTAAACAATTTGTTAATTTGAAATACTGATAAATTCATCCAGTTAAGCAATTCAATAATCAAAAATTTTAACAATTTAATAATCAATTCATTATTAATATATGCAATAGTAATTCATTTTTAATTATTTTGATTATTGATCTAAAATAGGGTGCAATGTTATCTAGATAGTTTACTAATATTGATTTAGTATTGTATGCAATATTATGTCTGAGAAAAAGGTACAAATTATAAATAATAACTAGTGGACACATACCTCCCGGTAAGACATGTCCGCAGTCTTGTAATGTTAATGACGTTAAACTGTTTTCCTGATCCACGCGAATGACACCATAACTGAGGGCCGACATCGACAGCACTCCCCTTCCCGTTGAACCGATTCCAGTCCTTCCGGGTCTGTGAAAAAGTGGGACAAAATGTATAAACAAATGCAAACAAAACAAATAAATGCGGCAAAACATACCGTCTGACAGATATAGTGAGCGCTTCGGCGGACACAGCGCACGGACACATGGCCTCTACGCGAAGGCCGCGGCTGTGAAACACATTCAAAAACTGGTCGCACGACGAGAGGGACCAGGGGTTGGAGCCGTCGGCCACCAAAAGCATACGCAAAGAACTCAAATTGACGTCTTTGTGGTCTTTGGTGGCGAGAAGACCCCAATGAAGGTCTCGGGACTTACAGATGGCGACTGAGGCCTTGAATTTGGTGATGACGAGCATCCAAGAGGCCGGGTTGATCTTCATGAGCGCGTATGGGATGAATATGACGTGCATTCCGTTCAATACGCTGCACAGTATGGAGTGCCACAAACCCACCTCGCGTTTAAAGTCCAATACACACAGCATTATCTCTCCCTCCGTGTAATTACAGGCGCCGGTGAGGGCCCGGCAGTGAGATATCATGGCATTGCGCGATACGGACACACCTTTCATCGAGCCGTCCCTATCGACGGTGTACTCGATATAAGCGGCCGCCTCTTCGGATATCCTCGACGGCGGCGACCAGTCTTTAGGCGGTTTGCCGAGTGTGTCGATGATGAGCCACGACAGCTTCGGCCAACCCTTGAACGTGTGTATCTCTCCGGTCGCCGTTTTGGGGAAACCCTTATTGCACGCCTCGGAGGTCAACGCGAACGCCACGTTACAGCTGCCCAACAGGAAGCCTATCTGTTGTGAGCCGGCGTCCCGACGGGTCAGCGGCACCTCAATGGGAACGGGAACCACACCAGCGGTCAGACAGCCATAATAGGCGCACATGAAGCCGATCGGGTCGTTGTTGGGGAAGACCAGCGCCACGCGATCGCCCGGTTTGATACTGAGTTCGCCTTTTTGGCCGATTTTGTTCAGCAAATTGTAGGCTATTTTGCGCGATCGGGACAACAGTTTGCCGTAAGTCAGGGGTGGACTCATTTTGCTATTGGTGTCCAATACTGTGGCGGCGGGCGCTTTGAAAGTGGCCGAACCGTATCGATGAAGCGCCGCCTCCAACGTCTTGGGCAGACCCGCCGGCACCATCAGCTGTTCGCCAATGGACGGCAACATTGTGCTGCCTTCGGGTTTGGGCGAAGTCGGGTCCAACTGATTGGCCGCTATCTCCAGATCGGTTTCGTCGTCGATGTAAAAGTCGGGCAGTGGTCGCCGTTTCGGGCGTTTCAATGTGTTTAACAGTTGCTGAATCTTTGCGGATACTTTCCATCGTCCGGTGCCCGTACCGGTGCTGTACGTGTCGAGTCCTAAGCGTCACAAAACACATACAAAACAATAACAGGATATTTAGTTTAGTTATTAAAAAAATTCATAAATAATTGTATCAAAACAATGCTAACGGAAGTATAGCTCATAATAACACTAATCACTATAATTGATAGTAAAGGGGTTTTTACCCGATAGTGAGTCCCTATCCCTGCTATCTCTGTGCAACTGTGCATTGGACGTGACGTCTGGCTGGGCGTTGTATGTCATCGATGGCGTCAGATTCTGCATCACATCCGCCAGATTGACAATACCGCTGTCGGTTGTGGTCGATCGGGAACTGATCCGTTCGGGACGACTGGGCGGTACGTTATTATTGGCGTATTCGTTGAGTGCGGCGCTACCGTTGACAGCAGCCACGGGTGGTGGAGGGGCGGGACTGGGGGTCGGCGGTACGGCTGGCAGCGGAGTGGAGCCCCGATCACCGCCGGAACTGATCCCGGAATTCACCACCTGTTGGGAACTGATCTGGGAGTTCAACTGAGCGCTGAGCCGCGAATTCATCAGCTGTTGCTTAAGTATCTGCTGTTGGTGTGGAGGTAACGGTGGCTGTGATGACTGATGTTTGGTGCGTTGCTGTTGATGGCGGTGTTGGTGTTGCTGTTGTTGTTGCTGTTGCTGTAGCTGTTGCTGGTGGTGATGGCGATCGTGCCGGTGGTGCTGTCGGTGCTGATTATGACTGATATTGTAGGCGCCGTTGCCGTTACTATTATGACTGCCGCTGTTATTGTGGTGTTCCTGAACGCCGATAATCCTCGGCGGCGGCGGAAGGTGTATGTCGTGCGCCGGCGACGACGTGTTGGACGTGTCGGACGACTCCACCGATTGGAAGGGTCGCTGCGAAGAGCTGTTGCGGTCGTTGCGGTCGTGTTCGGGTGTTGTGCTACTGCTGTCGTTGAGTATACTGTCGTCATCGCTGGACGAGTCGGTCACCCGTTGTTTGTGGTCCCGAATGGGCGAAGTGGCCATCACTGACGTCCGTTTCGACGGCATCGGCATCGATGGCTTGGGTTTCTATACCATTATTATAACAAAACCGTTATTTAGTACCCGATTATTATCACTATATGTGGGATCTGTTTGGCCATACCTTTTGCATAGCAGCCAACGCTTGCTGTACCGCCTCTTGTCTCACCTCTGCGTACAAAATATAGCATTAAAAATATATTTATATTTTTTTGATGTGTTTTTATTTACTTTAATTAAAAATACTTGTCATTTGTTTGTTTACACACTCTTATCGTATAATTAAATCTCTTATCACATTATCTAACGTTTTAAGCGTTTTAAAAGCTATGATAAGTAAATATGAATACATTTTCCGTATTTTTTAAAACAAAAAAATGAGCAAAATTTTAATATTTCTAATGGTATTAATGCCTAGATTTGCATAAAATGTTTTATTCATTAAATATTCGACTAATAAAGTGGACATTTAAATAAAATTGATAACAAATGTAATAATTTTGAATCCGAGTGAATGGCAATTAAAAATGATTTAATATTCAGATTAGTTTCATGTATAAAAGAGAGAAAATCATTAAAATTAAACTAATTTCTCAGTCATATTCTTTCAATCAGTTTAATGACTTCTCTCTCTCTCTCTCTCTCTCTCTCTCTCTAATCATTTTCTCAGATCATTAGTCGCCGAAATATAAAAAACCGAAAACAAAACTAAAAGCCGAAAAACTTTCTTAACTTAACTATCGGTTCAAAACTCATAAATCCAATAATACATTAAAAGACATCTCTCTCTGGCTATGCATTCAACAAATCATTAATACATTTGTGTGAGAATTGTTTCAAATTGAAAAACTTATGGTATTATAAAACAAAAAACACGCGGAGAAAGAGGAGGAGAACCGGTCTTATTCTACTGTTAACTAAAAACTTTATTTCGCTAACAAATAATAGCAACAAATATACGGCTAATTATATACAAGACCGACGACTAGAAGAGGAGTGAAAAGTATTATTTATAACTACAATAGTATGGTCTGTGACTCACGAAGAATCCCTTTAAGAAACATTATAATTCATATGATATTGTATTTCATACCGGAATGATATCGACTTTCATGACGGGTTAGCCTCCTGTGGGCTCTTCTCTTTGCACGTGTCGACGGACTCGCGGCTCCTGTAGAGGGGAAGGGAAAGGGTTGCCAAACAGTGAGACAAAGAGTGAGTGAGAAATGTGTTCACAAAAATCATAAATTCATTTATTCATCATTTATTACATTATCATAAAAAACAAGACATCTATTAAAATATATACTGTCCTCACGACTGGTATCATTGACAACAACAACAACAATCACAGGGGATGTCATGTGTGTTGATGTCAACGGATTTTGAATTACATATTTCGTATAGTTTTGTTTCGGAGTCAATATTTGGATAAATATAGTGTTTTTTGCCATACAATTGGTACAACAACAACAATCACAGGGGATGTCATGTGTGTTGATGTCAACGGATTTTGAATTACATATTTCGTATAGTTTTGTTTCGGAGTCAATATTTGGATAAATATAGTGTTTTTTGCCATACAATTGGGAAAACACCGCAATTTATCCCAAATATGTTTCGCAAAATATGCAAAATTGAAGCAAAAAACCGACAAATAATAGCCATAAATACCTGATTGATGACTGACTGTCACATACGGGGCCAATAATCGGGACTTTTTCTTCTCGTATCCCTTTTGCGTGATATCGCCTTTAAATTAAATTGAAAAACAAAACATTAGTATTACATATTAATAACACACGCATAGAGTATGTAATCAACAGTTTTAGGCTTAAACACTACAAAAATCAATCAATAATTAACGAGAAAACTTTAATTACAGATTAAAAACTAAATTTTTAGCACAAAATCAGTGCAATTCCTCTCCGACCACACGTTTAGACGTAAATCAAAAGTAAAACAAACTATTGCTTAACGCTTGGAAAACAAAGTGACAATTAAAACGATATTGTGTTTTATCGCCAGAAAGACGACAGAAAAACTAATAATTTATACATTAATTTCTCATTTCATAACAGATTGTGTTTGCGCTGAGAATTGAATCACAAAAATATATAACAATAATCACAAAAGTAATAAAATCATTGAAACCTCGGATATAAAAACCGACAAATAATAGCCATAAATACCTGATTGATGACTGACTGTCACATACGGGGCCAATAATCGGGACTTTTTCTTCTCGTATCCCTTTTGCGTGATATCGCCTTTAAATTAAATTGAAAAATAAAAATAAAACATTAGTATTACATATTAATAACACACGCATAGATGTAATCAACAGTTTTAGGCTTAAACACTATAAAAATCAATCAATAATTAACGAGAAAACTTTAATTACAGATTAAAAACTAAATTTTTAGCACAAAATCAGTGTAATTCCTCTCCGACCACACGTTTAGACGTAAATCAAAACTAAAACAAACTATTGCTAAACGCTTGGAAAACAAAGTGACAATTAAAACGATATTGTGTTTTATCGCCACAAAGACAACAGAAAAACTAATAATTTATACATTAATTTCTCATTTCATAACAGATTGTGTTTGCGCTGAGAATTGAATCACAAAAATATATAACAATAATCACAAAAGTAATAAAATCATTGAAACCTCGGATAACAAAGAGATATTACAATAATTTGTCGATCAAATGATTGATCAACTTATGGCACAACACCTTTCGCTTTCGTATGACATTTTCACTATTGAATTATTCAAACCATTTTCAATGAAATACATAATAATTGTTATATTTCTGTATTAATAATATTATTATTCTGTCGACGACTACCTCTGAGATATAGAAAAAATTGATTTCATTGTTTGTAATAATATTATTATGTATTTTTAGTACTCTTATTGTCGTTTAGGTGTTAAACAAACTTTTTTATCTGTGATTTTGATTGAATAAACACAAACAGAGAATCGCATAGTATTTCTCTCTCCCTATCCTTAATATACATTATAAATACCATGAATTTAATTGCGAGTTTCGTTTAGAACTAAAACTACAACTTTTTTATCATAAAAAGAGAGCGAAACAAAAAATATTTGGCAAATATTAATGCAATTATAAAAATACATTGCATTTGCATTCAAATAATGCCAACAATAAATGCCTTATTTGTCAAATTAGGTGTCGGTCTTGTAGTTAATAATATGTTTAGTTTCGCCGCCAGTGGTGGAGGCCTTGGATGGCAGGCCTACTATCAGAACAAACCTCTCAGCATAAAGACGTCTTCCTCTGATGAAGTCGTGTCGTCCAAATCAGATGACGAACGAAGCGATGACAACACTTCCGCCGAAGAGGTGTCGGTGGAGGTGTCGTCACCACCACAGCCACCACCAGAAAGGGTCACATGTGATGACTGCTTCCCATTACTACCACTGTTGGCCATTAATGCCTGCCATACATGAATGGGAATGCCTGAAGATGTGGACCAGATGTGGCCCAGATGTTGACGCTTATGGTGATCGCTATTATCCCTGCCCTTAGCCTTCGACACCTTCAGCACAGGCTTCGACGCTGTGCTCGCATTTGGTGGCAATCTCTCAACGATCGCCGCTTTGTTGTCACGAGAAGTGTTATTAACGCGAGAATTAAAAAATCCATAATTATTATGGTTTGAGTGGCGAAGAAGTTGATGATGTCTTTGCGATGGATTGGCGTACAAACTATTGTTACCATTATTTCCATTATTGTTATTATGATTGCAATTATTATTATTATTATTATTTGCTTTCTGTTGCCAACCGTTGCTGGCGTTCATCAACTCTTTGGGATGCGAGCCATTCATCATCTCATTTGATGGTCGATTGCATTGACGACTACTATGTCTTTGTTTCGCACAATTATTGCTATTATTGTTAGGATTATTTGGTTTGGGATATGATTGAGACGATCGCACAGAAGAGCGTTGGACTTCCGATGACTGACAGTATATGGCATTGCGTTTGATATCGCTTTCAGTGAATCGTAGATTCATTTTAATGTTATTTTTTTGTTACTTTTTTCTTGTTTACCGTATTGTGTAGTGAATGGTATTTAACTCATTAAATGAGAGGAACTATAACTTTAATAACCATTAAATGCCATTTCATACACAACTTTTCAATACAAATAATACTCTTATGTAATGTTTAAGCGGTAAAAATAGTCACACAATTAGAGAGTATAATAAACACATAAACTTTTTCAAAACTTTTTTCCAACTCCTCTTTTTTTGCAGTCAATCTCTCATTTTAGAGACAATTTTAGCACTTTTTGCTTGTGTTTACTTTATATCGGAAGAGTAGACAGAGAAAGAGGGATGGGATGTGGGAATCACATCATGGGATGTAAAACACATACATCTTTGTGAGCGTAAACTTGTGGTACTGTTTGGGATGAGTCTCCGGACCCGTAATGAACTACTACTGCACACACACTCTCTCACATCGGGACTGACATAGAAATTAATATAACAAACGATTTGACGATTGATTCTCAAGTTTTTGTGGCGGAGTTTATAATTAAATATAATATTCAAAAAAGTTCCCAAAAATAGGCGACAAACCGAAAAACAAGCAAAAAATGTTTCAAAGTTTTTAGACTTTTAAGTTAATCACAACTAAAACCAAGACATGTGTTGTGGAGAAGAGTTACTGAATGTATACAATAATTGGTTTGGATTTTGTCACAAATATATTGAGATCTCAAACGATAATTCATTCACTCGATTGATGGCATGATTTGTTTCCTTATAGTTGTGGCCATAAATGGTTTAATACATTGAGATTGGGTTGAAATAGTGGTACAGAAAAAATATCACGAGAAAAAACACATAAATTTATGAGCATTTGATTTACAAATTTTTTAGGAGCCGTTCATTACGTTCATTGCACTCCCAATACATGTATATAACGTACTAAAAGTGGTCTTGAAATTGGGTTATGAATCCGAGTAATACTTTATTATTATAATTTATAATAATAATCGTATGGATTTGCACAACAAATACATACTCGACGAGCGATTTATATACAAATTTTCATAACCACTTCACATAACCATTACATATAAATTTCTATTTATATATAAATCATGTATTAATTCAATCTCCAAATAAATATGTAATAATTTTTTTTGCAGTTAAAACACAGATTTTTCTTCTCTTCGATGAATATTTACAAAATAAACCGATTTATGAGAGAAAAAAACTTTTGAATAAAATTATTGCAAAATTGACTCTATTTTTATAATATATTCGGAGAGTTAACGGAATCGATGGTAAAGTTATAGTTAACAACACATCTATAAAACTGAAAAAACAAATCAAAAAACTTTAAGATAAACTGAAAACTTAGTTTTTTGTACTCGAAATGCAATCATAAACTGCTAACTCATATACACAACACACATGTATATAATGGTAACGTTTATTATTCCTCTCATGTGTGCAATTGAGTGAAGGAATTAAAACTTAATGCAAAAGAGAGTTAGGAGTGAGACAGACATCCCATAAGAGTTTGGGATGGATTGGGAACCGAAACCGACATCCGAGTCAATGAGTGTATGTGTAGGGAAAGGAAGTGCCATAACATACCGCCCACTATGTTCTCAGAGCTTTATATACGAGAGAGAGAGAGAGAGAGAGAGAGAGAGAGAGAGAGAGAGAG